TCCCCGCCCCCTCTCAGTTTCTCATCTTAGAATTTTTGTACATATGTGTTAGGATCATTATGACACGGGGCGCGTTTTGTAGGTCTCCCTAGTGTGGATGTGGTATTATGGTGCATGGAGGATCGATTGGCGACGGACGAGTTCTTATGGTGAATGAGTAAATTGTAATGTCTGAATGGGTCGTGAATCAAATTAGCTAGGTATAAGATAGTTAGTGAAGACCAGCCTTTTACCCCCTCCCCCTTTTCGGCCTTGTGCCACAATTTTGTATTTTACAAAATAAATCCCGGTCGGCGACTGAAACGGTCGGTACGCAGGCTCCTGGCCTCCGTGGCCAGGACGTCGACCACCGGACTGTGTATTAAGTTACGCTCCCATTTCTTTTTGTATGCCAACTTGACGATAGTTGGAAACTTTCCTTCTCTCTCTCCTTCGCCTACTACTCCTGGCTCCTTGCCCGTGTTCGACGCTCGGCATTCCGTCCCTACTGGCTGCCTGCACGTCGTCCATAACCTTTCCCGTACACTGCGTTAGTAATTATTATAGGAGGTTACTAATATAGGACTCGACCAGCAGACACGCAACGCCTGCACTGGACCTTTGACATGCCCGAACAACATCGCAACGCCAGCTCCTGTATCCTTCCCAACACGTCAAGTTGGCGTCCCAGCAACGACCAACATCAACCTCAAACTACAATGACCAGCAGCGATCATCTGCAACGACCGACATCAACTTCAACAACAGCGATCATCTGCAACGACCAGCAGCGACCACCTGCATGACCAGCAGCGATCACCTGTAACAACCAACCTCGACCATCAATGCTTGCACCGGAACATCTGCATCTCTACCGTTCCGACCACCTTTATTTCTTTATTACTTTTCTAGAATAAATTAACTGATATCCTATATATCCTCGTTCTGTCGTCTATGTTGTTTCACCTTGTCAGATCTAACGTCTTCGAAAATGCTAGCGGGCCTCTCGTGACCTCATCACCCTCTTGTGATACGTGGGCGCTCGAGGGGTCCGCTACACTCTTTCACCTATCGCGTAGGCCTACACAAATTTCACACCCAGCCATTTCCTCCCTCTCCCACCGGATCGTTCTGGGGAGATCGATACACTGCTGTTCGGATCAAGAATTCACAACGTGGCTAATAGTGGTGGTTCTTTCCGGCGGAAAGATCGGGTGGATTTCTTTTTCAGCCAGAACCACCGGGGAAACAGGACAGAACTGCAACAGGCAGGGTTATTACGTTAGAATATTATTACATCCGAGATATAGTAACACCTTAATACACAGACGAAACAGAAGAGCTGAAAAAATGGTGCAACAAACATGTATGGTTCTCAGAGATTTTATGCCGCTAAAAATACAAGAAATTATATACAAATATATTTCCTAATTTGTCCCACACAAATTTGTCCTATAACATAAATTCATCAAGCAGTGTAAAAGAGGCGAAAAGCGAGAGTCTTACTTGTAATATTTCCCGAAGGGAAAACGGGTGATGTTCGTTATATACATGGTGAGATCATGTGGTTTCATCTGTAAAAAGTAAGTTCCACTCAGACAGCTTCTTCCCAAGAACTGCTGCCTTGTAGAACAGACTCCCAGTAGAATGTTTTCCAAATCACCACAATCTTGACCTCTTCAAGTCTAAGATTTACCATTATCTTTCCTTCCTAACCTCGAGAACTTCACTACTTGACTTTTTTCCTGCTCATACAACACCATACAATAACCTTCTACCTTGAGTCGCTCTTGGGACTTGTATCAGGTGAACATTAGTATGGAACAAATAGGAGTCCTGAAGGGATATCGCATACAAAAAAGAACATAACCTTTACAGGATGGAACCTCATATTTTTTTATCTTCAGTTCAGTGCTCTGCTTCCGAGGCGAACAATTTGACCACATGGGTATTGGAGATTTCAAAATAATAAACATTTTAAAATAGCGGGGTGGAGGAATTTTTATTAAAATTACTTTATCTATGTAATAATATTTATCAACTCGAGACTTAGGATAGCAAGTCGGACGTTTTTGTTTACTATTGCACCATGAGGTATCCTTTCCCCAAATGTTGGCTGTCATCTTGAGATGCTTCTGGTGCCTAACATTTGGTATGTCTGTTCCAGTACCACCAGCTGAAGTACATGCCGATGCCAGGGAAGAGGCAAGAACTTAGATCTTTATTTTTGAAAGATCCACTTGATCCAATTTCTTTCTGACAATGCGATGACTTGGTAAACTCCTCTTTACGAAATCTACGTCACTTCAAGTGGATGAATAAGACTCTCCATAAGCATTCACATACACACACACAATTTCTCTTTAAATGGATATGCGGGTGGTGTAATGGATAGCAGCTTGAATTGAGAATTTGGAGAGCCGCGTTCAAATTCCAGTAGAGTTAGTTACATTCATTTACATACATATACCCTTGGAAAAGGTTTGAATTTATTTTCTCTCCCCCATGTATGGGCTAAATAATAGGACTTGGCATTTTAGCCTTGTTTGGCAACCAATCTAGGAGAAGGAAAACTGAATTCAAAAGCATGTGAAGTGCTGCTTGGAGGGCACTTGGCACATGATGTGCCTTTTCTCTGTAATCAGGTCTTCTGAAAAGCGTCGTTAGTTCTGCACAAGCCTCCACTATGCTAATCAAATTATATGTGCGAGTAGTCTGGTTATTTTGTTCTAAGAACTGAATCCTCATATATCAAAGACAATAGGAGTCCATCACATATTTTTAAATATTTACCTGGCCTCATATTCAAAACATACTTTTTCACTCAATTTAAATAATTTCTTTCCAATGTTGTAATTTTTTCAAGTGTTAGAAATCTATCCAAATTTTAAAAAAAAAAAAAACATCTTCACAAAAAAATTTTTCTAAAATAAATTATTTTTCTTTTAATGAACCTGCATTAACTCAAAATAAAATTGGGTGTACATCCCTATTCTCCCAGTAACGCTTACATTAATTCCTGCTCTCCCCCTCGGACAATCCCTTTTCCTCTAACACTGCAGTTCATAAAGTAAAATCATTTACAAGGCATGCATTTCTATGTATTAATAGCTATATCTTATCACTATATAAAATTCAGTGAACTTTGTATCTCATGTTTGTCAAGTCATATATAGAGAGTGGGGAAACGAAAGATGTAAATTTATTATCATGTAGGAAGTGGGGGATGGAGCCGATTTTTTTACGAGAAAGTGTATAAAACACACAAAATCCAGCCAAAAACAGTATGCGCACAGCTGTCATCAAGGTCCACACCACTCTCACTTGTGAACTTCATGACCTCATGCTAAAAGTGACTGCGCTAACAAACTTCAAAGAGACCGCTTCAGATCATGTATCCTCTTTACTATGAACCACACACACATTGAGTTTTTCACACAAACACATATATAGCATTTCATTGTTCCTCACATACATACACAAAGGGAATTTATATTTTATTTCAGAATTTTATTAACCAAAGACATTACTTTCTAATCTATGACCAATTGCTTGTATTCTTGTTATATTAATGTTCATTTTTTGAAACTACGTTGTCTTTTCTACTGAATTTTATTCTTTCAATGAAAATCATTTGATTATTCTAAACAGCTGAATTATGTGCAGCACCACAACAGTATTTTATGTCAGTGTATCGAATCCCAACACTCCGAATTCTGACATTCCAACTCAGCACAAGGCCAATTTGAGTGCAACCCTAGTAATGATTCTTGTATGACTTACCTTAACGTCTGGATAAAAAAAAAAAAAAACAGACATCCTAAAACCATATGTAAACCTTCCAACAATAAAGTAGAAACTTTCCTTTGGTTGCTCTAATACTACACAAGGCTGAATATGATATCTATACTTAAATGACTGGACCAAAAAACAAAGTGGACATACCCATGAGATATTAAGAATGGTTTCACTAGTCACCATAATAGAATAAACATCCGTAGTAGAACTCAAGTTTTTGTATGCATCTTCTTTGTTTACATATTGAACATGTTCTTTCACCTAAAATAAACACAAACATGTAACCTTTTAAGATCCATATGCCTTCATCAGGTGTATATCAATCTGGGTAACCTACAGGGAATTCTGAATTGAACCCTTTATTTAATCTATGGGGGGTAGACTGTTCTTGTTCCATGTTTAAACCTAGACAATATCCCTAAACATGCTGTGTGTAGAAAATGAGGGAAACTGAGAAGCGGTAAAATCAGTTGACATCAGAAGGAAAACTGAAGCTTTGTTTATACGAGGTTCAAAGGCAATTTGATCTAAAATCTAAGTAACATTAGCATTTCACTACCCAAAGCTAAAATTTACTTTGTCATTCTAATGGTAATCATTAGCATGAATGTCAGTTCCAAACTTTAATAAATCCAACCCTTGCTATCATCAGCTATAGAAAGCAACTAAAATTAAATATGAGGCCAGGTACATTATTTACATTATTCGGACTATTGTCCTCATCGTTGTCGCCATATTTATTACGTTTCGGCCGTTGTATGCTCCGGCCTTCTTCAGGTGGCTGGAATGTCAAACTGAACCCTTTATTTCGCTCACTGGGGAAGACTGTTCTAGTTCCACGTGCCATGTTTAATGGATGTCAGTTATCAGTTATCTCCTGTTAATTTACCCCCTGAAAGTTCTCCACTGCCTTAACCAGGTATTGAACTCGCACTCTTTGGGTCCCGTCACTGGATCTAACCAACGCCTTAAGATGTCATCACAGGTGCAGTGAATGACAGACAATTGGAGAACACCTTGTCACAATTTCACCATGTAAGTCATCACACAAATGATTAAAAAACATCAACACAGAAAATGATATGATATTTTTTTAATAAGTTACTCTTTTTCCATTACATAGGAACTAATGAATAATGGTTTGTTTGGTTTCTTGGTTTTTTTTTGGTTTAGTTGTTTTGCCCCTTTTTATTTTTTTATGTTTTTTCTTGATGAAAAAGTTGTCAGATGAATAAACAACTTGCTGAGAGAGAGAGAGAAATGGAAAGAGAGAGAGAAATAAGAGAGATACAATGAATAAGGGAGAGAGGGGTTGGAGGAGAACAGCCATAAGTAAAAGGGAGGCTCAAGATTGATAGAGGATTTGGGGGGAAAACAGAAGATGAAAAAACTGTGTAATAAACAAAAAACTTCAAAAGGAGGGATGGAAGGAAGGAAGTGCTTCAAGAAATTAATTTTTGTAAGTCTCTAAATACAAAACAGCATCCAACAAGAAATTTTTAATTCATTTTTCCTTTTTTTTTTTTTTTTTTTTTTTTTTTTGTTCTAATTTATTCATATGATTTTTTTTTGTTGTTGTTTTTTGTGTATTCATTTGCAATATTTTCTGAATTTGCTATTTTTTTTTCTTATTTCATAAGTAAAACCAAAAAATGAGGAGGGGATAAAATAATTTTTTTTCATTCTTTGAAAAAGAATATTTGTTGATGCTGTACAAAAAGACAAAGGAGTCAAATTTTATATAAGGAGAATTTTTTTTTTTTTTTTTTTTTTTTTTTCATTTATTGTTTTTTTTTAGTTCATTTTTTTTTTTTTTGTTTTGTTTTTAATATTATTCACTGGTATAAGAAAGGATCAGTTCTGAAAGATTTTCATTTGTTTTTGCAGCAGGAAGGTGTATTTATCAATTTTAGGGAAGGCATAGAGGGTTCTTTACTTCCTATATATTTCATTTTTTTTTTAAATCTGGTTTTCTTTAAGGGTTGTTTTTTTTTTTTTTGGCTTCATTTTATTTATTTATTTATTTATTCTTTTTCATATTACCCACTGGAATAATAAACATGTTTTTAGAGGTTTTCATTTTTGAATTTTTTTTTTTTTTTTTTTGCAGCGAGTAGTTCTTACTATATTTTTGCTATTATTTATTTTTGGTTTATTTTTTTTGTTTTGTTTTGTTTTTTTGTTTTTTTAATTTTTTTTTTTATGCTTTTAAAACGGATCTTCTTCCCTCTATCCACAAAAGTGACACATGCATTTCGCAGGAGCATATATTAATAATATTGATAATCATAGTAACAGAGTAATTATAAGAGTGCGTCTAAAGCTAAGATGAAAGATGCCATTATATACAAGAGCATTTCCTCTCAACCCTCTCCACAAATTCAAGACTCAATTAAATTTATTTGCTTTTTTTTGCCATCAAACAAGAAAAAAATTGGTTATAAAAGCATCTATATTTAACAGAGATAATATTTAAGATTGAAGCATTTCTTTAAATCCATTCACAGCTATTTGGATTTTTTTTTCCTTTTTAAAATGAATCATTACTTTGATGCATCATCGTTCTTGTTGGAGAAAAAGTGTGCATTTTCATTAGAAAGAAAATATACTAATTTGCACAGCATAATTTGGTAAAGTAGCATTTATCTCAGTGTATACAGAAGGGACGTCGTGAATCTATCTAAATGCTGCTATTTGTGTTCTTTCTTTCAAAAAAAGATGAGGGAAATAGTATGAAGAGACTTTATAAAAAATACTGCACTTAGGCTCATTTGGAAACGGATTTACAAAATAAATAAACTACTAATAAATATCGTAACTCACTTTTAAAGTTGCTAATGAGAACAAATATTTAAAAAAAAAAAATACTAAATATACAATTCTATAAAGTAAATCAGAAATTTTACCAAAATTTAATTTTTGAACAAAATGTTCAAGGGAGGCAACCAATAGACAATGCAATTTAAAAAATGTAGGGAGTGATTCCCCTTGACAAGTTACTTTGCATTATGTAACAAGAACGTTCAAAATAAATCGTTTCAGATGAAAACTTAAAATTAACCGCAAACTTAAAAAAAAAAAAAAAAAAAAAAAATTGATAAAAATTTTTTAAAGTCGTTAATTGTGCGATTCACTTCTCTTAGAAGAACATTAGATATTATTCATTTTTTTTATGCAAACATCAAAAAAAAAAAAAAAAATGAATTTTCTTCAGCATTGGTACTGGTAAAAAAATTTACAGGTGAAGGTAAAAATAAAAAAATTTGACTATGTCAAAACCTCAGAAAAAAATTGAATACTATTCTTGCATCGTTTAATATACAGGGTGGTCAGAAAGTCTTGTTATCTCTACATAATATAATTTTTTTATTTCAGATGGCTGACTCAAAAATGATGGTGTTTATACAGACCTTCTGAATTTGTGACAGCATCAATGAAAGTGAATAAACTGAATCCAGTACATGTGCTTTATTACTTGTTTTTCTATTGTTCTCATTACTTTTAAATCACACTGTGGAATAGTAGTTTTTTTTTTTTTCCTTTTCATTAATATGGTTTGATGTCTATTCACCAGTATAAATATTTATGTTCCTAAACAACTGAACCATTTCACTGTGTATAAACAGTAGACAAATAACAATCTAACATTGCAACATGACTTCAGTTTCACTCACTCAGTTCATTCCTGTGCAAATAACATCATTATCATCAGTCCCATGACCAGGTATGATAGTAGAATCTCTGAAATTATTAATTCTTTTATATTTTATTTATTACTAAATAATTTATTAAGCATTTAAATAATATTACTTAATAATTTATTAAGCATTTAAATAATAACTTAAGTACTTATACAATTTATTAATTTACTTATTAATAATTTATCAAACTGATCTTTTAAATCAAAAAGCTATCCTGGGTGACTGTAGATTAGGAAGAGAATAATTCTGGTAGATATCATCTAAAAGGCATCATCATATCAAATTTTAAGAGAGAAAAAGAATATTTTTATATGTAACTTTTTTTTTGTAGCAACTGTCAGTTAAATTTCTAATTTTGACATGAACTCAGTCTATATACCAAAGTTGAATAAGACTGACCAAGTTTTCGTTAATTGAAATAGGCCTATTCCTCATTTAAGGTAATTTGGGATTTTATTGTGTACTCATTATTTGCACTGCAATAATAAATACTTTAAGCTCTTTTTGTGGATCAGTTTTAATGTTTTTATGTTACTAGGATCCACTTGGATTATATACCATATATATATATATATATATATATATATATATATATATATATATATATATATAGATAGATAGATAGATAGATAGATAGATATATAAAATCAATTCAATCCAAGAAAGGCAAAAAATGCCATTAAGACACAAAGGGTTACTGGGAATGAAAGAGAAAGAAAAGACTTTAGAAGAAACTGGAAACCCAATCCTAAACAAGAAACAAGGGATAAATATATCTATATATATATATATATATATATATATAGTTTTACAGTGGGCTATAATTGAGCCCCCAGGGTCACAAACTCACATCTATCCAACCAAATATATATATATATATATTAGTTTTACAGTAGGCTATAATTGAGTAAAACTGCTCAATATCAGAAACAGAGCCTATGTAAATATAAAAGTGGACACTGAAACAAGGTAAACCTTAATTGGCAATATATATATATTAGTTTTACAGTGGGCTTGAACACAATCTTCTGGTTTAAAGATTACGTTCAAGCATGAAACAGACTGTTGCCACTCGGTGCTGACCTCTATGTCCACTCCATATCCAGGCATTTCTTTAATATTCTACCAGAAATGCTCAGAGAAGTAATGCAAAGGATTAATTAATATTACTATCTGACTACTTTGTTACAAATGATACTTTTCACATTTACTAATGTTCCTGATGCCCTCTACTTTTTGCCTTGATTAATTTTGTGAGTCACAATTTGAAAGTCATAAAAAACAAATTTCTAAAAAAAAAAAATAAATAAATCCTAACTGAACTGACCAATTTAGAAACAGGTTTTTCAAATTTTAAATGTTTTTTCTTCTGAAGAAAAACAAAGCTTTGGTTGCTCTAAAATAAATTGTAAAATTTATCTCTTTTAAACTTAACTAGGACTTATCTCTGCAGAGACAATCAATCATGAACCATAAGACAGTATTTTGCAGTGACTAATAAGGCAAATTTTAAATTAAATGCAATTATAAAACAATTTAAGGAATGCCTCAAAGGTAATTCCAAAATAGTTTGAAAGAACTTTTTAAACAGTAAGCCAGAAATATTGAAAGAAATATGAATCAATCCTCAAATAATTTGGAAAAATAATAATAAAAAAAAAACCCTGCTGGAAAAAAAAGTAAGGGTATTTTTAATCCTGGTTAGTTTTAATCCCAAGTGAGATTCTTGTTTGTAAAAGAGTTGTGAATAATCATCTCCAACAAAATATTTTTCATGAATGCACCTAAATAGACAAAATGTTCTATCTCTCTCTTCATCTCCATTTTTTTTTTCTTGTCTCTTTCTCTCTTTCCATATCTGACTTTTTACTTCTTTCTTTCTCTTCCCACTCCTAGTGAGTTGTAGTAAGGACAAGGAGAAAAACATGGCCAACAGTAAAGACTATATGGCACAGACAGATCTTGGGGTGATTTTCCTTTTTAAGATGGGGCGATTGCAGATTTTATTCTGCGCTGGAGATATTGCATCTTCTTTACTGTTGTCAAGCGATCACTAAACTCTGTATATGGCACCTGAAAAAACGAAAAAAAAAAATCAATCAAAAAATGGGAATGAATTAGTTTTTCAAAGTTTATAAAGAGCATGTGTTAGGGTTGCTAACTATTTTTGGTAACACCTTAAACAACCAGAAACATTAAAATGGGTGTCTCACTTTCCTCCCCACACAGTTGCCAAGAAGGGTTTATTTATAATGAAAATTATCTCTAAAAATAGCTGAAATCAGCAAGAGTTTTAATTTCCAACAAACAAGGTTGACATATAACTTAACATAGACTATGAATGATTTGTTCTTGCATTTATCTACTTTTGTTCCATAAAAATAAAAAGTCAGTTAATTATGGTCCATGTGATCCACAAGTGGTTCCTTAAATCAGATATTGATTAAATCAAAAGAAAATAAATTAAAACTTTTGGGGTCAAGTGACACCAAACTAAACATAGAAGATTTCTAGTTATGGGTCTATATTTAACAGTTGGGATTGAGCTGAGCTCTGGGCTAACATTAGCAGGGGGAAGATTGTCCCTCAAACTAGTGTCAGGCTGCCCATTACTAGATGATGTTAGATCATCAAGGTAGTTTTAATGCCACCCATTAGAGTTGCCAGCCATGTGCTGTGATCTTAAGATGAACAAAGCGGTGGTAGGAGAGTTAGAGTTCTCACGAGTTGAAGGAAGAAGCTGACTTGTTAGTCTGAGAGGTCAGAAATGGCAGAAGTTATCTCCATATGTCACTTATTGTTGTAGCATACCTACGGACAATAATGGATATGTCCCCATTCACATAAATACAATAGTAAATACAGTATGTTGGTCGGCAGTTAGATATTTATTGTGGAATTCACTTGACTCACTTCTAGCAGCTGATTACTTCTACGCATGGCTGGCAAACCTTATATGTGTTGTTCTTGTCCTAAGTATTATCATTCATTACCAACCTTCATGTCATTATTCTATTCAGTAAGCTTCCCTACATTACAACACTTATCTACCCCACCTGCCCAGACCATGCAAGTAACACCTAGAATAAACAAAGAAATTGAAGTAGGGTTGAGTGTCTCCATTTCTTGTTGTGGCATTTATTTGCACCTTTTGTTTCCATGGGAGCTTGCAATGGACTTTTCTGAGTTTTTGGTGCACACCAAAACAAATGAGAATAGAGAGACATTTTCACTAGCCAGTTGGTGAAATAGTGAGAGAGGAGCCCACTGTATGTTTACACACACCCTATCTCAGCAGAAGTCAAAATAAGATTATCAAAACCATAATCAAGCTTCGTTAGGATAGAGAGAGTTATATGTTTCAATCATTTACCCAATGAAAACAATCTCCCCTACCAATAAGATAACATTCAACATTTGACAAAAAGAGAGTCTCAAATGGGAGACACTTGGCTCCCAGGGGAAGGATTTCAGTCATTTGCATGAATCATGTTTATTACTTCAAACGTTATTTTAGTGAACACATCTTATTTGAAATAGGTCCATCATTTCTACTTATTAAACTACATCTATTGGCCTGCATATTCAAAGAATCTTAGTAAAAAAAAAAAAAACATGTCATTTATTAAATCCAAAACAAGCGATCTCTTTGAGAGTCTAACCATCCATTGTAACTGTAGAGAATTCAGTTCCTACTCATTAATGATGAAAAGTTAGTAGCTTATCAAGAGAGAATCCTTATATTTATTGAAAAAGGTACAAATATTTTTAAGAAAAGTTTAAAACAATGTAAAAATCTGCACACAGACAGCCAAAGCATTGATGGCCAGACTGGAAAGGATATGGAACAGCAACATCAGCTTCCACACCAAATTTAAGTTCCACAAATCACATCATCCTTCACTGTTGTGAGACGTAGACACTCCTAGAAAAAGGATCCATCCATTCAAGAACAAATACTTGAGAAAGTTTCTCCATACCTCCGACACAAACCAACAACTGGCAGGGGTCAAACCCGTTCCCCCCTTTGTAGGAAAACTACCGTTAAAATAGATTAAAAATATGCAACAAATATGAAATAAAGGCGGAATAAGGAAAGAGGGCATCAAAGAGAGACGATTGTTATCTGCAAATGAGAACCAATGAAAGTAGACAATTACCTGTATGAGGGTGTAATCCAGGTGTGTGAGGTGTCTTACAGCCATGGTATGAAGACCAGTAGGTTTCACTGTATACAACGTCATATCAGGGAAGTCCAACACCTTAAAACCAATCCTGAAAGAGAATGATTTCAACAATTTCTTTCATTTTTATACTCAAAATCAGTTCAAATCTCACTTAACCATGACTGGTTTCAGCTATTATCATATCAACAAGCTTGCTATCATAGGAATTCAAACAGGAATTCTAAATCTTATCACAACACATTAGATAACAATTACCTTTATAGTAGAGGAATAAATACTCTAAAATATATGCTGACTTTTTGTCTAATTCCCCATCAGGAACATACAATTAATTTTTACATCTTGGGTTTCCATGCTTCTCAATCATAAATAGCAATTGATGTGGGAGATTAAACCATTAATGCCCACTGTCCATAAAATGGGAAAATTAGGTAGAAAACTATAATACCAGATTTTTTTAATCATTTCACCCAAAACAAGATGAAAATGCCACTAAGATGCTAGAGGTTATGGAGAGTGAAAGAGAATGAGACAACTTTAGCAAGAAACGATGAGAAAAGATGATAAAACAGGATTCAGGAAGACCAAAGATGGCGAATGATGCCGCATTTAAATTTTTGAGGATTGTTGGTGGACTTATAATCAATGCCAGATTTTAATTTTTATAAGTACAGGATTTTATAGTGGGCATTAATGTGTTATTTAAAAAAAAATAATTACATAAAATGCATAAAATATTAAGAGACTATCTTGTTTTTATTTCATCCTTTTCCATACAATAAAAGGAAAAAGGAATGTTATAAATCATTAAGTAATCATTTTTATGTTTATTTCTGAGTGTCATTTTTTCAACATAGAGAGAAAGCATGTTTATATTTTTGTAAATATAGTTTTGAAAATACTTTTTATCTGTTTATATTTCTGAGATGACTGATTGTCTTATACACATTTCAGCTGATACCCTCCAGACTTCTTCAGGTACTGCTTATTGAACCCAGTAACTTTAATGGAAATTTGAACTGGACTCTTTACTCAGCCCCTGGGGGTAGATTGGATAAAGGGTCCAGTGAGACCTGTAAATAGTGTGAATGTTTCTGTTTCAACATTATGTGGATCATATCTTTTACCAGAAATCTCAACTACTTCTTTGTTTTGTTTAATACTTGTCAGTGTCCACAACAAAAATGCACATTTTCATTTATTTAACTTTCAACACTATTATTATTAAACACCATTATTATTATCCTCAGGTATGGATCAAAATGTTTTTCTAATTTTTTTCAAAAATAGTTAACTTAATTTTTTTCCAAAATTCAATCCAAATCAAACATTTTTCAATAGGCTTACAGTTCTAGATCTCAGTTGCACTATGAGCAGGCCTGGAGTATAGAATGCCATGGTATATGATAAAATCAAATTTTCAGTTTGGGTGTGGCCTTTTTCATTGCTTTTGAACAAAAGTTCATCAGTTTATGACACAGGAACATAAGGTTACAAAAAGTCATAATCCCCCCAGTATGCATATACATCAATAGCAGGCAATGAGTGTTTTCAAAATAGGTGTATATCCACAGCAATAGAAATGCTTTAAAAAAGAAAAAAATTTAGGTATAACTAAGTTTTAAATCTATTAAACATTTATTTGATTTTCTTGTCATTTAAGATTCTCCTCCTTTATGTTACCATTTATATTGCAGTGAAATACTATGCACAATGATTAAACTCTCCAAGTTTTACTGCTGGTGTTTATTCTAGTTTCATCATCTTTAACAAAAAAAGTAAAACAAAAACTATTTGCAGTGGGTGGACTGATAATGCATTTTCTCACTGTAGCCTCTGATCACAATGGAAAGCCAAAATTAAGACTGACAGGAAGAAGAAAGTGGAATGCAATTTGAGCAAAGGAAATGCAATGACAACCACGCCCATCAGGGACTGACCCTGCAATCTCATATACCACCACACTGTTCACTGCAGCATGAGATCTTAAAATTAAAGAGTCTCTCTCTTTCATTTGCTTGACACAAAGAATGAACAAGTGTTTTGTTGTTTCAATGAGAGTACAAGAATTGGTTACATCCACCATTTCAGGTGCATTTCTGTCCAGGAATCATTTTCTCAGCTCTATTTGTACTCCTAGTGTCTTCCAAAAAAAAGTAACATTGTTCACTATCAGGTTATGTCAATAACGCAATAGTATTTAGCTCAAGCATTATAATTCAATAGTAAATTTTTTATCAGATTATAGTCCAGATTGAATCTCCTTGAGATAATCCAGCATTTCAGATGGCAATATGGTTATTAATTTATAAGTATAAACAAAAGGTTTTGTCAAGAAATCAACACCTGAGATGGACAAAAAAAAAAATTTACCTAAAAGTTAATTTTATCAAAATCTCTGACCCGTTACTAAGAAAAATGGGAGAAATTTCTGATATAAAAATTGTGTACATTATAGAAACCAGAAATATTTGTAAAAAGTGCTAGAGAAAAAAAAAAAATCAACTGAATTTTAAAAATCTACAAATCTAATTAATGTATTGAAATAAAATTTTCAGTAAGCATCCATTTATCTGGTGATAGAAGGTAGCATTGTTTGGTCAGAATTCAATCCTTTGGTGGTAATACTGGAGTGACCTCTTTAGGGTGCAGGCATGGATGATGGTACATGAAGGCCATGCATTGTCAAAACTTTATGGCCTGCCTCTCAGTCATACTGACAAAATCCAAATACAGGGCACTACATTTGAGGCCAGCTTGGCTGTAGGAATTACCACAAGGTTGTCAGCATTGACAGCTAACTGCCTTTGGCGCTTCACTCCAGATTTTCTTCTATAGCTTTTTCTTTCCATTCTATTTTTGACATTACCACCCACCCCAACAACTTAAGTTATCACCACCCCACTGATTCTGCCACTATAAGAGTGTGTCAGAATCAAGTAATATCAACATTCTTTCAATGTTTTATTTTACGTTTTATCCTAAGCTTCAACAATTTGGAAAATGTGCTTCTTCAGCACCACTCTGGCTACAAGATTTCTGGATTAGCACAGTTCTCTATATCTGTATACCAGGACAAAGGAACTTTCAATAAAGCATTTTTTAAATTTAATACCACCTAAAATTTTTATTTTTTTCCCCAGAAACAAAGCAAGCAAAAAAAGATAGAGATACAAAAGGTGGAGAAAATATATTGTTTCATTTTTTTTATTCACTCAAGACAGACCACTCTGACATGAGAAAAGTAACTTACCTGTTCACGCCTGGCTTCAGCTCACTTCCACAGTGGTCGTCATACACCAAAGGTTCACCCTTCTTATCCACAAAAAGAACAGCATCTGAAAGGGAGGAGCATAAATCTTGTCCATGATGCCTAACATGCCACCCAAATGTTTGGAGAACTTTAATGAATTTATCAATTTGTTCATCAGTCAAGATATCCAGTATTTCACATCTCTCAAAATCAATCAAGTAGGAAATAACTTCATTTTCTAAAAATTCTTTTTATTACTTCAAAGTAGCCATTTTGTGCTTTAAGTTACCAAACATTTGAGTGGCACTTTATAGTAACTGATTAATTATAAACAGTAATTACTAAGAAAATGCAATTTATATATATATATATATATATATATATATATATATATATATATATATATATACACACACAAAGTCACACACACACACACACACACACACACACATTAAAGTTCATCACACAAAGTCCGAACAGAAAAAAATGAATGACTACCGTATTTGACAATGTTGATAAAATATCCCAAAATAAGATAAAGAAATTTTACTAATTACTAATTTTTTCTTTGATTTGTCCTGGGGTGCATCAGAAACCAGAAACCCAAAAAAAAAAGAAATTTCCAGTTACTCATCTTTAATTAAAATTTAAATGTTTCCTGGTTTCTTAATTCTTTCTTTTTATTTTTTCTTGTTTTCTTTTCTCATATTATTTCACACTTAGTAATCCCATTTGTGTTTATTGCCTGGGGTTAATGATTAAAACAAAAAAAAAACTTTTAAATATTTTCAATTAAAATGATTAAAGTTCTTTAACTCTATGAAATTTTCTTCTTCGCTTCTTGTTTATGGAACTCTTGTAATAATATTCATAGAAATATGATTTAATTTTTCTGCTTTACTAAACAGGTTTTTAATTTTTTTTTAAAAACGAAAAAAAAATGAAAATAATTCACTAAGATTTTGGAAGAAGAAGGAAGGGGGAAAGAGAGAGGTCGAGAAATAGCATAAAACACGAGTAAAGATATCTTAGCAGCATGTTGACCGAATTTTTAAAGACAATTGTTTTTTTATCAAAAATATGAAAAACCAGATATCGTCAAAGCATCTAGCCTACTTTTACTAGAAAGACACCTTATCAATTTGGATAAAGTCTTATAATGAAAACCAATAGAGAAATGTTGAGGTTTACTAATTTTCTGACCTGTTAATTACTAAAGATTTTTTCTAAATGATTTGTCCTGCCGGGTCTGACAAAAAACAAGAGGTGCAGTCAAATATGGTAATATTGAAACGTAAAAAAAAAAAAAAAAAAAAAGGCAAAATTGGATTTTGTTTTTAAAAAAAGAACGATTAACCAGTTAAAGGAGGAGAAAGGATGTCATCAATTTAATCTTCTGCAAAAATTTAAATTGTCTTGACATACTAAGAGAGATTGTCTCCCCAAAAAGGCACTCTTAATTCCGATAATGGGAAATCAAAAATTTCTTTTTATTATTTTCTCTTGTTTTCTTTTTCTCATATTATTTCACACTTAGTAACTCTTTTGCATCTTAGTGGCTTTATTGCCTCGTTTGAGAACTTCCAGGTGTAAAGACAAGAGAACTGATTAAAACAAAAAAAAAAAAATATTTTCAAAATAAATAGCTTTTTCTTTTATAAAGCTTGCTTCAGTTGAATTGGAACAAATGTAACTTAAATGTAAAAGGTTGTTAATTTTTCATGCTCACAGTTTTTTTCTCTTTTATTTGTGTTTTGCCACCCCGTCGGACTTCTTGTTTATGGAAACACTTCCAACTTTTTAGCTTTCCAGTAAAGGCGAGTTTGATCTTCAAAAATTTAAATGGAGGAGCAACATCAATCCATTTCTTATGTCTTTGATCTTAAAATTTAAATGTTCTTTTTATGTCTTCTTATTTCCTGTTCTTTTATCGTTTTCTCTCCTTAGTAGTTTTTCCTTTTCCCATATTATTTCATACTAAGTAATCCCTTGCTCTTAGTGGCTTTATTGCCTTGTTCCAGGTGAAATGATTTTAAAAAAAAAAAAAAAAAAAGGATTCACTAAACCTGGCTTATTCTGGGATGTATAGATGGTGTAAATTATCAAAAAAATGCAATCAGCAGAGTTCAAATTCCAGCCAAGGCTGTTGCATTCACTTTGTGCTAATGACCTTAGGAAATTTAACACCACCTGCCAACAGGGTCACATCCTTGGTCTTGGTCACCAATTAATGTAACACATTTTGGCTACCACCTACGCCAGGGTTTTAGAACATTTTAACCACGTGGATAACTCTGCGCTGGTCCAAGCTGGTTGTTGTTCACTGGCCACTTCGATCCACACCAACTCTGCCCACATTGTGTTATTGACCTCAGAGTAATGGAAGATTGAAGGTCATAGAATTGCAGTGTTGATTCAAGCCATGGCAGGTGCCATATTAACAAAGATATCTTCACAACAAAAAATAGGAGATTCATGGTGGGAGGGGTCAATCTTCAATTGGTTTAGATACCTCTTGGTACCACAAAAATGAACCCTTCCCATATCAATCTCTATAGTGACACTGGGCCTAGTCTAAACTTCTGGAGGTGCTGGGTTCAAAGTTCTTCGAATCAGGAAATGTGATGACAGCTGACATGGATTCCAGAAGCACACAATGCAGGATCTCAGCCCAAGTCTCCGATCTCCCAACGTCATCTGTTTATATGCACTTCAGCCCAAAACTGGCATGGGGTCATTAGGTGATTACTCAATCCTCACATAAATCCCAATAAATGTTTTCTTTGTTCCCTATTTCTGCTGTCTTAATTAGCTTTACAAATTTGGAGAATTATCCACCTTCCTTGGGAATAGTCACAGAGATTGCTTCTCCTTTAATTCCAACCTGCTTCACTTCACATCTTGCACCACCACTCCACACAGGCAGGGCTAAATTCTGCCTCTTCCTTCTTCCTCATTGATATTCTAACTCTGCCTACTTCTGGTATAGAGCTGGTATAAATGTCGTCATGATAAATCTAATTTTTAAACTGCATAGGTGAAAAGGCATAGTTTATTCTCCTCATTAATTTAAACTCCATTCCACTTCCCTACTATTACTTTTGTCCAGCGGGAAGACAAACCAGACCACTCATTTTAACTTTCCAATAGATAAAAATTATTTCACAATTTGTTTTCGTTAGTAAAAATATATTTGCTTACCTAAATTCTCAACAAAGAGACACGCTGTTCTCCATCCTTGGGCTGATCGCCGTCTTTGCAAAAACATAAACCAGACCAACTGCCTGTTACAACAGGATCGGTTTTCATAAGCCTAAACCTCACAGCAGGTTCATTCTGCTTTCATTTCTCAATTCATTTTCACTAACGAAAATAGAATTCCTTTCTGCCTCTCTTCTTGCCAATGACATGTGTTTTTCTAATTTCCCAAGAAAGAGATAAAGCCATTTCCCAAGTTGCTTTACCACATGCTAGATTTTCGATAGATAAAAAAAAAGTAAACTCTTGGTGCATCATTCCAATTTGTAGGGGTGGGACAATCCAGATGGCCACTTCCACATTACAAGCAAAAATGTCTTTCATTCTCTTTCATTTTGGGCTTAACCTTTTTTCTGCCGTGGATTACCATTTAACCACCTCACAGCTTCAGTGTCACAGAAAGGCATGAATCCATATCAACTTCTTCCCAGGTATTAATAAAATAACAGGACAGACTGAACTCTATAGTCTAGAAGGACAACTCCAAATTTAAAAACTATAACAAAGGCAATGGAAACCATTCCACTACCAAATACTGTCATGAGAAAGGAAATTTATTAACAAAGTTCTGATTCTAGCCAAAGTAGTTGATGTGCATTTACTTCCAATGCTCTTGGGAAAGGCATGAATCCATCTCTCCCATGAGCTATGGGATAAATAGCAAGCCTAATGAGATTCTCTAGCCTTGGTTGGCAACCAGTCTTGAAAAAGGCCAAATCTGTATTCAGAACTGCAGAGTAAACAATAGAAAGCCACTCTGCTATTTTTCCCAAAATGCAGTCATAATAATGCACTTTGACATAGTGTAATGGCTAGCAAACTTGCCTCGCTAGATCAATTTGACCTGTTTGATATTAACTGAGTTGGAGGCACCTTTTATGCCACATCTAAGCTACGTTTAGAAAATCATTTGGGCACTTCAACATGGTGTAATGGTTAGTATACTTGTCTCATTAGATCAATTATGATAGAATAGCGAGTTCGGCCCTCACTGGGTGCCACATACTTTCAGCCTTGTACCAGATCTAAGCTAAGCTTAGCTTAGAAAATTACCATAATAATGCACAGTTTAGATAGTAAAAGAAAACGGAGAAGTGGAGAGCCATGATCACTACAACACGAAGAAGCAAATGCTAAATTTAATTTCAAAAAGATAATGAAATGAAAAAAGATTAAAACTCAAGTCATTTTGAATAGAAGACCAAAATAAATCAATTTAGACGAGCAAATTTTTAAAATTTTTCCTTAAAAAAATCCTCCTTAAACCACATCAGAATATAAATGACAATGGCTCTCCACTATTTCCTTGACATTTTTTGGGAGAATTCAAAAGTGTCATTCTAGACTAGCTACAACCCAAGGCCACAGAACCCAGTCTGCCAAGTCATATTTAACACATTGGCTCCCAAGCTTAATTTCTTTTATTGTCCCAGAGTCCCAGAGATTGTATCTTAAATTCTGTTACAGCAAAATGAGGAAAACAATGAGGGCAAAGGAAGCTGATAAAAATACTCCAAAACATTAATCCATTTTGTGTTGAATGTAAAAGTAATCCTTCCCTTTGCCTTGAATGTTTCAATAAGAGACAAAATAAGAATCAATTCAACATTTCCTAGTCGTATATCAATATGTGCTTTTATATTTTTCCTTTTATATCTTTTCAAGAAATCAAACATTAAGAATATGATTTTTTTTTTTTTTTATTTATTTGTTAAGGTTACGATTTCTATTTGATTAGAATTCTTGTGTTTATTTTACTGGTTGTAGGTATTATTTTGGTTTCCTAAGTAAATAAAGTATACTTTTCTTAAAATTTCATGTTTTCCAAGTAAAGTTTCTGTTTACTCAAACTTTTAGTTTACCTGGATGTGTGGTACAGATAATGTAGATGGAAGAATAAAAAAATGACTCCCAAAAACAACAGTAAAAATTCCAAAAGGAAAACGAAATAAAACACACACGCAAAAAAAAAAAAAAAAAAAATTTAATTTTTGGGAAAAAAATGTGGTTCTAGCATACCAAGATCTCATAAGCAATCAATCATAGCATCCCCCTCCCAATAATCTTCATAGAAAAGAAACTGGAAAAAAACCCACTAGAGGGTCATGCAGGCCTTGCAGATATACCACCATGACACTCCAGTGGGTTGTGAAGGACCCAACATATTAAGTCATCCACATGTCAAAAAAAATAAAAATTACACACAAAAAAATATTTAAAAACAATTATGGAAAAGTAATTCCAGGAATTTTCAGATAGTATTCAACCAAATTCATGAAACTTCTTTTTTTTTTTTTTTTTAAATATCTTTTGAAGCAAGAAATGTTTGCTTCTCTTCTAAGAGGCCTGGCCTACTTTCTAGAGGTTAACATCAGCTTGGAATTGACACCAATATCTGACATGCTTACCAAGAATGTAGCCATAAGGAGTTATCACATCTGTCTTAACAAATTTGTGAAGTGGAGCAAAATTTGAAAGTGCAGCTGTCACAGATGTGGCTAAGCCTTGATGAGAACGAGACAGGGCCTGTGAAATAAAAATAAAGACAAACACTTAGCAACAGGCAAAGATTGTTCTAAAAATTATAGTATAAGTAAAAGTATCTTAGTTTTTTTGCAATCAGGTGGTTGAGAGTGGGAAATTTTTTTGTTTTTATATCAACAGAATATAAATTCCCACTGGGGTTTGTCATGTTCTTCACTCTTTTGAAAGCATAAATAAATTAGAACATTTAAAATGAAATATTTTGAATAGGAGAAAAATCCTATTATAACTGCACTTGTCCCTCCCTTTGTTAGTTCAAACAACTGTTACACCCTGCGAATACCACATAAATGATGGACCATTTTGTTTTGATTGCATGGAAAGAAGAAAAAAGACTACTTGGTTTCAGTGAGAAAATGAAAGATAAGGTAGAAGTGAAAACAGAGAATCAGATTAAGCTGATAAGAATTCATACTACACTTTGAACTTAGCCAAAAGGTTGAGAAATGATTGCATTTTCTTGCTGCCCCACATTGGCAGGATGTGATACAAGGTTAGTTTAATGTTAGGAGCTTGAAAGCATGCACCCAAGCCAAATCAAAAATACCCCACCCATTGCACTGGCATCGATATAAGTACCAATCCACACTCTTTAATGCAATGAGAAAGGTATTGCCACAGGCAGTTGCTTCCCAAGACAGGCACCTCCCAATAATATTTTCAGTCTGGCTAGAGACACAACTAAGAGATGAAATGTAGTTTATCTACCGAGCGCAGATAATACACTTTGATCCTAGCCAAAAGGCCAAAAAATGACTGATGAAAAAAAAAAACACCATTTTTCAGACACACAGTATCAAACAACAGAAACCAAGTAAGGCAATCACCAAAACTCCAATTACCATAAATTAAATAAAATAACATCGTCTGTTGAATTATTTTTAAATTATTATTAAGAGAAATGTTCGTAAGACAGAGACTGGGGTAGTTAAAGTAAATGAATACAAAGAAATTTATTCAGAAATTTCTCCCTGCATCCCACTTTGTTCTAAATGAAAGGCATACAAACAATGAATTAAGTCTGACCCAGATTTATTAGTTAAATTTTAATCTGAAAATTTAACAAAATAATTTTTGATCTATACATTCCCCACTAAATTAAGTTCATTGACAAAGCAAATTATGTTGCAAAATAAATAACATGCTTGGAAAAAAGTAATAAAAAAAAACATTGTCATCACTCCAAATACATATTGAAAAATCAACACATTCAGTTAAAAATTAAAATACTAAAAAGATCCTTGAAAAGGGATAATTGAATAGCCAAATGTGCTCAGATATATAAAACACTAGCTTAGGATGTTAACAACTTAGAAAGAGAAATTGACAAGCCAATACTGAATTCCAGTTGAGTTCATTGCATTCACTTTATAACCCTAATGGGGGTTACAGGACTTGTGATGTGACATGACAAATACAAATTGCCTCAGCAAGAATTTGAATTAAGTTTGTTTTTTCTCTTTTCCATTCTGTTAAACATTAGTCCAATTCCATGTCTTCAAGAGTAATCATACCTTGCATACAGTATTTTTATATGTGCATTGAGTTCTGATCTGGTCCCCTACATTAGCAGGCAGAAGATGTGTGCGAATATTACCAGAAATAGCCTCTGAAAATACCATGATCATAGTTTCTGGCTGATGAAGGTTGTCATAGTCAATCTGGTCAGTATTGATTTTTTTCATAAAACTTGGCAAGTTACATTGGGTTACAAGGTACCAGCAGTGAGTAGTAATCCTTAGCTCCATAAGAAGTTGATATGCCGTTAAACAAACAAAACAATAATCCTTAACCTGGTCCATTGTGAGAAGTGGAGTTATGTTTGCTTTTATTGTGAATTTACTGATTGATGAAATATGTAGAACTAGCTATTGTGATAAAGGCCCTTCATCACAACAGGTAGGGAAGAGTAGATCTGATAGGCAACAATAAACTACAGAAGTATTCAAAATTGATCACTGCATTTAAGTATTGAATTAATATTTAAGCTTACCTTTTAAAAGTTCAACAATAGTTCTTCTGCCACCACTTAATTTACAGACAATTTGATGTAGGTAAGCCCTTACTTTCCATACAAACAATTAAAAATAATTTCATGGGTAACTTTTGCTGAATTTCACAATTGTTCCCAAATTTATTTCCAAGTTATAAAAATTATTGTCATACAAAAAATTCATCTAAAAGAAAAATCACATAAAAAAAAAAAAAAAAAAAAAAAAAAATTACCAAAAACAATCATAGTAATAAAAACTTGGGAATCCAAAATTTCAGGATTGTGGGTCCAGATCCAGCCTGGAATGTTTTTAATTTGCTTACGGAGTCAACCTGATTCCAAAATGATATATACTTAAAGGAGTAAAATTGAAAAAAATGTGACACACTGACATTTGCATTTATTATATAGATTTGAACAGTTTTTGCATACTTTATGTCCAGAAAAGAAAACACTTATACGATCAGAAGAAAAATCAAATAAAAAGCTTAATCACAGTACCTTGCTAGTTGTCTTTAATGAAACATATACACTCCTGTTCAAAAAAGATGGGCCAAGGTAATATTATAAAAAAAAAAAAAAAAAACAGATGTGACACTTTTTTGCATGTAATAAGTGAATATTAACAGATAATTTTTATTTTTCAGATTAATAACATCATATATTTTCTAATTTAAAATGATTCCCAGAAAAAAAAAAGAAAAAAGAAAACATCTTCATGAAAGAGCAAAAAACAGAACTGCAGGACTGTGAAGCGAAATGGTTTAAGATACGAAACAGAAGGTTCTGTATCAAGTAAATCGGGGTTTGGCCACCCTAGAGCTTCCAGTCAAGGATGACCACAGGCTGAAGAAGACCATTTTGAAAGATCAGAAGAAAACCTTTGTTGATGATTCTAAACAATTTAAAACAACAAATGGGAATTCTCTTTCTAGAATTACAATATCTAGAAGAATGAAAGAAATTGGATTCACTTCAAAAAGACGTGCAAAAAAAGCCTTGTTAACCAAGAAGAACATCAATGAGAGAAAAATATTTGCTTCGTAGAATAAGAAAAATACAGAGTGGTTTAGTAATGTTATCTGGTCTGATGAATCGTGAATTTCTCTTTCTAGTGATGCTCCCAAATTCTGCATTAGAAGATCATGTGAAAGATTTCTACCAAGTTGGATCAAAAGAACAGTGAAGAATAGGAGCGGAGAAATAATGGTGTGGGAGCCTTTACTGCTGCAGGTGTTGGCAAACTAATACAGTGTGATAAGTTCATTAATGCAAAAGAGTACATTAAAATACAAGAAAAATGGCTTCTGCCAAATATTCAGCAACTGGGAATATCACAAAACATGATATTTCAATAGGACAATGCTCTTGCACACACAGGTAAGATAACTAAAAAAATGATTGGCTGATAATTCAATTGATATAATGTTTTGACCTGGCCAATGCCCTGAATTAAATCCAATTGAGAATATTTGGACTATTATCTCCTTCAAATTGTCAGGGAACACTTTTTCAAACCAAGAAAAGCCATGGGAAGTAGTTCAAAGAGAGTGGAATAACATCTCCCAGTATTTAATGTTGTTTGAGAGCATGCCTAAAAGAATTTCTTGTTTGAAAAAATTCAAAGGAAACTCAATTCCATACTAATGATGTTTTGAAATAAATGTCTTGTTCTAGTTATACTGTATCAGTTGATATGTTCATAGTCCATTTATAATGCATAGAATGTACCATTTCATTCAATAAATTATGAAAGGTAGCTTGACCCATATTTTTTTTAACAGGAGTAACAGGGGTATGCATATATATATATATATATATATATATATATATATAAAGAGAGAGAGAGGTGGGTAATTGGACAGCAATTTTCCATTTATACAAGTTTATTTAAAGGACAATGAAAGTTCTTTGATAAGTATTTTTTTTTTTTTTTATGTTTTCTTGTTTTAGATTCAAATATGAATTATCCAATGTCAAGTGGTTTTGGCTTTCATAAGCCTTTATCAAGGACCTTTTGCTTTTTTTTTGGGGGGGGGGTTGTGCTATGTCAGTTTCATCATTTTAAGATATTGCTTCTTCACTTATTGTTTTTCCATTCTTTTTTCTTAATGAAATACATTTAGTTTGTAAGTAAATTTGACAACATTTTATTGATGCTAGAGTGTTTGTTTTGTACACACACACACACACACAATCTACGGTGGATTTTTCAATAATTTTATAGCTGGAGAATTCTCCAGGTGGAATTTTATGTTATATATGGTGAAAACAATAGGCTTAATACTAAAACAAAAATATTACCTGGCTGGAGATAGTAATTTAACTCATTGTAAAATAAAATTAAAATTTTAAAAAATAAACAAAAAAATTTAGATTCATTCATTCATTTTCTATGGCTTATCAGCATTTTGCAGGTTATTTAAAGCCAGAAAATATGTTTCTTTTAGATTGTAATATTTTGGGGGGAGAGAGGATAATGATTTAATGATACAAGGTATTTGCATGTAAGTGAATATAACAAACTCAACTGGAATTGAAACTCAATTCTCCAATTAATAATTCTGAGTCATTACCTATTACACCATCCACACATTCAAACTTATAGCACCTGATATTCCCAAGCAACTCGAGGTAGCGGGTTACTGAGTTAGAGGTAAGAGGCCTAATTTATGAGAACATGAGGGGAAAATAACAATTAAATCTAGATTGGAACAGGTTAAGACTGTAACGATTGGAGATGTGTCTCTTGGGTGTCATTTCCGCAAAGTAGCAATTCCTGAGAAAAAGCTTTTTGAGTAGAATTTACATGTCACCAAAGGAATACAAAGGGAATAAGGGTGGTTCACTATAATGAACGTGGCATGGTGGGTCTTAGCTGTGAGAAATTAAAATGATAGAAAATTACAATTCAAAATTAATAGTGATTGTCAGAAAATGTTATCATTATAAGCAAATTTGCAACATACCTGTAAATGTACTTGGTCTATGAAATCTGCAGGTAAAAAGGGACCATTATATGAAGAAATGTCATGCCGGACAGCAGCAGCAATATTCAGTATTCGCAGTTGACCCAGAGTTTTTCGGAAAGGATCCAATCCTGAAAGACAAAGTTCAAAATGGAAGAAAAAAAATCAAAACTGTCATATCAAAATGGATAATACATACAAAAAGGATAGGGATTTTAATTATATATTCACATTCCAAGAGATTGCTCAAACTACTTACATTTTTGTTTTTAAAACCCATATTTCAGCTGACCTATTCTACAGCAGCCTTCTGGTGTACAACCCATAATAAGTGGCAAGGGATTTTTTTCACAGAAAACGAAAGAAAAACAATTCTTTTAAATAAATGAAAATATTAGCAATTGGATCAGACCATTTCAAGCAACTCGTATAACACATAGTACCATTCACAGCAAACTATGTGATATAAGTGATTTTATATACATTTATATGTTTTTGCATATTTAAAAGAGCTTTTCAATATACATAGAAATATTTTTGATTTAGTTACCCATTAACTGTTCTGTTTTGTGTGAATAACTTAATGAACAAAAGAATGAAATTTTCTCAAATTGTCAGCATGCTGATGCATTCCTTTTGAAAAACCTGAAAAGACTAATAGATCTCAGGAACATACAAAATAAATAGGCATCCATTTTTAAACTCATCAAGCATGGGACAGAGATGCTAATGGGTAACTAAATGTTTATTTATATAAGTTTACTAATTTAAAAATATGGTTCATCGCTACAGAGGAATTACCATGTTTCAAAAACAAAAACTAAAAACTTCAAATTCAATTATAGAATTAAATTAAAGTCCCTAATCCTGCTTCATTTTCAAGTGAATTTTGAAATAACTTATTTTGAAATTTACTGAGTTTTATAAGCACATACATTCATATTAGTTTCTAAGGATACAGGGAAATCCAATCATTTTAACAAGGGGTGGTAAGGTATTCATTTTCACAATGACAATCTGTAAAAGAAGTCAAAAATAAGGATATACAGTACAACTCCTCTAAACCAAACATCCGAGTTGTTTGGTATTGAGGGTTATGTTCTGATTTGAGGAAGAAAAGGCTTCAATACAAAAGTTCAGATTTAAATTGAGTTCAAATTCGAAGAAGTCTAAATTATGCTATGTTCGGATTTGGGGAGTTCTAGGTGTGTGTTGTGTGTGTGTGTGTGTGTGTGTGTGTGATATATATATATATATATACACACACACACACTTTCCATGCTAATCCAGGAACTTCATATGGGTTTGCCTTGCAAGATGGATTTCTTTGATCAAAGAAAGAACTGAAGAGGATCACCTCATTAAAAAAATAGAATTTGTAGAAACATTGTAGTGAGAGAAAATGTCAAGTAATTGTAGGTTTTGTGTATAAATGGATGGGGGGGTCAGGGACTATTCTTAGTGGTCATTACCAGACGACTGGAACTAACAAATCAAAAGCAAAGAAAACAAAATGTATGAACAATTCTTGGTGTGACATCTATAATTTTCAGAAATGGTTATCTTAATATGATCCAGTATCCAATTAAGTTATAGAATGAGAATTACAGAATTTACAGACTCGGTCTTTCTTTTAAATTAGTATTCACAGGCATTCACTTGATCTGTTTTATGGATGCTATTTGGAATGAGGAAGTTGATATTTAATATAGTTACTGATGAGAAAAATACATGCCAGCTACAATATTTGCCATTGCATAACAAACATTCACACAAGATATGCACCTCCGCCAATTTTGTCAAGATATTTTGTGGAAAAAAAAAAAAAAATTTATTGTGTTTCATCATATAGTTATTGAAATATATTTGAAAGTGATTTTGTAGAGGAAAATGTATGATTTTGTGCATGAAAATACAATATTGCAACAGTCGACTGGAATAAAGTATGAAACCATAAACATTGTTAACCTTTAAAGGAAATCACATTTGCCAAGCAGAAAAAAATACTGCTACATTTGTATCAATTTTTTTTTTTTTTTTACAGCTTATCAACCCTTCTCAGGTTATTTAAAGCTAGAAAATATTTTAAGATGGTAAGAATTGGAGCGGGGGATAATAATGGTTTAGTGATACAAGTCTTACTAGTTAACTGATAGCAGCAGGGAGAAGAGGTGAATTCATACTTTTCCCAAGGGTATTTGCACATAAGTGAATATAATAAATCAAACAAGAATTGGAACTTGGCACTCCGATTAACAATTCCAAACCATTATCCATTACACCACCCACACATTTTTACCAAGTGGTCACCCATCTAGGTACTGACCAGGCCCAACATTGCTTAACTTTGGTGATTGCATGGGAATTGGTGTTTCATGAATTGTTTATCCTCTATTCTCTGTTCAGGATTGAGTTTCTGCTTCCCTTGAGAGACAATTTCAGAGCTTTCAACTACATATTTACAATTATGGCTCGTAATATGGAATCCTCCATACTTGCCTGTCACCCCCTATGGGAAGATGCACTCTTCCCCAAATTAACCTTTAACGAATCATTACTTCACTTTTCCAAACTCAACTTCCCATTGGTTAAAAGGACACAAAAATGTAGCAAGTTGAGAAAAAATCATTTTTCCCGTGCAACTGTCTGGAGCCTATTTGAATATCCAAAAATCTATAAAAAAAAGAATCGCTCGACTTAATTCAAGTCAGTCAGACACTGAGTTTCGAGAGATGCCAGCAAACTCCACGCGTGCCAACACACTGACTCAATAACACTACCAACCTCTCATCAACTCAACTCGCACTACTATTGCCGCATGAAGAAACTTAACTTACAATTTACTAAAAAAAAAAAAAAGTGATATTATCACTACAAAATAGTAATTGTACATTTAATCAACTTTAGCATATCAGTCAAAGGCACACAACTCTTCATACCTTGAATCAACACTTACAATTCTCACACACATACACACTATTATTTGAACTCACACAATTGACATATTACCTTGCAGAAATCAAACTGTTTTAATTTCATAAACAAACTTAAACCATCAACATTCATTCACCAAATCTCTGCATGGACACTCTTTGCAATCTTATCTCACTTGCCACTTTTAACAAGCAACCTATCATCACTTTGTGTATGTCAAATATATATATATATATATATATATATATATATATATATATAAAAAAATTCATGTTATTGTTGAAATATATAACTACATTGTTTTTTTTCCTTGATTTCTTTAAGTTGTATTGTCCTCATATGTTCGTTTAATTTATTTGTTGTGGATAAATGTATAATTTTAGGCCTTCACACAATTTCATCTTCTGATGCATCTTACTTAGCCCAAATTCTGCAACAGTAATAATCCAAAAGTGAACATTTACTGTAGTTATTACATTGTAGTGCTGTATACTGAACTTTTCATGTTTGCCACTGTATTTTTCGGTTAAAAAGAAAAAAAAAATAAATAAAATTAGGAACTCTAAAGCCAATTATAAACAGGAAAAAAGGGTTGAACTTCTACTTCTGTTCAAGAGACTGGGAAGGAGTGTGAAGCTACTTACTCCTCTCAAAATGAATTTATTATACAATATTATTTTGTAATGAGAAAAATAATGTACAAAAGATTTAATCTGGTTTACATTTTTTAATTTAAGCTATATGTAACTATTGAAAACAATATAGTATACATGCTTAAAAAGTGAAATAAATTCCATAAGGTGTACAAGACCATTAAACTCAATCTTTTTCATGCTCTATGTTACAATATAATGGTTGAATAATTGTGTGCACTTCAATACAATCCATTTTTTTGATAGTGCAAACTAGAAAATGATAACAAACAAATTGATAAATAAACCAACCCATTCACAGCAACATGTGTAACACAGGCTATTGCATATTTTTCAGTGTTGCTAAGAAATTCACATAACATTGTGTTGAATAATTTGATTGGATCAATATATTTCTTAATATTTCTCTGCTTCCTATCATTTGTTGTTTATACCACAGAGAAAAAAAAAGAAAGACTTCTCCTTTCTATTCAGAGAGTACACCTGAAAATAGTTGTAGAATGGAGTGAGTTGAAATATCAGGGTGAAAACAAAAGGGGGGAGTTCAATAGTTTGAAGAACTTTGGAAGGATTAAAACTATGGTCAACCATAGTTGGGATCATCGAGTCAATATGAATGATCATTCACTTTAGCTGCATCGTATATGCTTCGCCAAGGCTACATACAGAAAATATCTTTAATAGCTTTGTTGCTATGTGACACTCGGGCTCACAGATATTAATCATGCAGTAGTCTGAATTATGATTTTTATACTTTCGGTTACAGTTTGGTTTTGTTCTCCTGTCCCTCATTTTGCTGCATCAAATTTGCTAGAACAGCAATTTCTAATATTCAAACACTAAAGAACATATCAAATATTCTGTGTTAAAAACAATAATGATGGAAATAAGACTTTGAATTTTTTTTTTTTTTTTTAAAAACATACCAGGTGTAACAGCAGAATTGTCCAAATCGTGTCACAGCATGGGATAATCCCACAAAATGTTTAACATCTATAAAAACCACTAAACTAATTAAGTTTAATTTTTCCAGGTTTTCAGATAAGACATTAAGCCATATTGACACTATTTGTTATAAGAATCATTGAAAAACCCTTTGAGTTATTCAGCTAGAAAGACAACATGTTAAAATCATTTTGTGTCAGCCCCACTATGTCTTCCCAAATGAGTAATGGTGAGATGAAAAATATCATTCAGGCCTTCATTAATGGGACTCATACTCTGGATACCATCTTCAAAGTCTATTCAAGAAACATCAAAATAATGGTGAATGTTTAAAAAAAGAGGAAACAGTAGAAAGGAAAACTGGATCAGGAGGTCTCAAGAAGGATCATCATTTCAATTTAGATACATTCTTATTGTTCAAAGTAGGGTTTTATAAAAACCTCAGAGAATTCCAATAAGATATATTTAATCATTTCTAAGATACAACAGTTCAAACTTCATCTAACAATTAGACACTTCTGTTGTTACATGATTGGACAATTTTGCTGTTACACCTGGTATAAAATAATTTCTATTTATTTAATTATTTTTGCTTGTAAATTTATAAATCAGCAAGATTTTTTTTTTGTTTTATTAAAGAAGGTTTTGCTTAAACAGATAAAATGATTATAGCAGAATCATTTACCAACTCTTTCCTGGATAATGACCATTGTGTGCACTTGACAAGACAATTTTGTTGAGGCATCTGGTAATGGGACAAAAGGAAAAAAATGGGTTCAGGCCTTCACCAAAGGCATTTGTACAAAATGAACTGTGTGGACTTTTGCACCTGAACATTTGACAAAATACAATTTAAAACGAAGTACAGATAACACTTTCAAAAGTCAGGGATCAATTTGACACTGTATTTATATTATGACCAGGACCCCCTTCTAACATGTTTAAAAAAAAAAATTAAATATTTTTTTGTATTCTGACAAATGCTGGGTTATGAGAAAGATCTAATGAATGCTAAAATTATTACCCTAAGTAAGGGTTTTTTGTTTTTTTTTTCTTTTTTTAATTATAAGCTGACCAGTAGTGCCCTCATAGACTGAATTTAAAGGTTCAGTTCAAAATTCCTTGAGGGTTACCCAGATTAACAGGCAACTGTTGAAGGCCAGGGAGCAGAATGGCTAAAATGTCATGACCATAACTACAAAAAAGAGGATATTAATCCAACTGTAATACCTCATCCCAGAGATACGAAGACAGCAAGACTAGAAATGGTTTGCAAACATGAAGCTCAGCTGATCGCACACAGACACAAATAAGTGGAGAGAAAAAAAAAGCCTCACCTTCTAAATGCCGGAAGAAATGAGAATTCAACACAGATGCTGCTGTTTCTTGGTCGCAAAGCCTAAGAACGGCCAGACACCAGACAATCTCAAGCCACTGCATGGGATCCTGCTCCTGAAGCGTGAGTAAACGTGGCATCAGGTTGGGCAAAATGGCTGCCATACCTTTGTTGTCATAGACGAGATGGGAAAAACTGATAAGGATCTGACCAATCTCCTTTGGATTCAAGCTGTCTTGAATATGGAGGATCTTCCTGAAGAGAACGTCCAGCACTGGCGTGTGGTGCCAGCGTAGCTTGGAAAAGGACGTCAGAATGGAGAAGAGCAGCACATTGCTCTCAAAGTGCGGCACCTTCTTCTCAAGCATGTTCGACATCTTGCTCAACAGGTGATTGTCATAGATCTTCAAACTGCAACAGGCATACAACAGGTTGACAAGGTGCATGTTGCTCAACTTGAGGGACGTCTTATTCAGGTGATAGGTCAGGGCACGGATCAATGGGGTATTACGATGTTTACGCTTCGAGAGCAGGTAGGTCACGCGGTAGAGCTCTTTTACATCCATCTTCTCAACCAGATCAAGAGCACGGGCCTCTACCTTGGAGAAGAGGAGCTTGCTGTTGTCATCTAAGATGTACATCAGGGTGATGAGGTCTTTTGGGTTTGACAGCTCCACCCAGCGCTTCTCAATCACACTGAGGGTCTCTGAAAGGATCTTCTTTCGCTGGGCTGTGTCTTGGTGTTGCTTATGGATAGCCAGGGTACGGATCAGACTTGTGATGGACATCTTCCAGAGGAGCCATTGTACCTGTTTCTCAAGTGACTCAATCAAGTAAGTGTCCTTGCCAGTCAGGTGGAAAAGAGCCTCAAGGCACAGGAGCAGGTTGCTGGGACTCAGTGCCCGCACGTTACTGTGAAGCATGGTGCTCACCTTGTCGAATCGGTCGTCCTTCAGGATGGCATCAAAGTCAAGACCGTGCGGAGCGAGTTGGCTCATCTTGTGAAGAAAGTGGGGTAGGTCTTGCACATTCAGAGACTGCAAATTCACCTGCTCCAGTAAAGATTCAATCGTATTAACATCCTGAAATTTACTGTGTATGTAAATGGTGCTCGTCTCCGGTCGCACCTTACGGCTGCTGACATTGTTGTTAACATTGTTGCTGTGATTGTTGTTGTGGTGAGCAGGATGTTGCTGCTGCTGATGGTGATGATTACCAGTGCGGAGACCCGATTTGGCCTTGAAGGCTTGTGTGGCGTACCTGTGCACTCCGCTGTTGTCTACCATCGGGAAGTCGGGAGGGATCGGGTGCACCATCAGACCTCCAGCCTTGCATAGCTCTGGTATTTGGCACTGATGCCGGCGGTGGCATTGGTATGCTGTCCGCGCATATGCCTGCAATGCAGAGGGCTGTCTCCACATGGTCAGCATAGAAGAGAACCACTGCAACTGTAAAGAAATCAACAGAAATATTAATACAATTTCATGCCACACTGTACAGAGAGTTGCTGAAAAGTTCTCAGTCCAACCAATTGACTGTTTTACAGCTTAACCCTTTTGCGGGTTATTTAAAGGTGAAACATATTTTGGATTGTAATTTTTTTCTTTTTTTTTTTGGCAAATGAATATTACAATATTAATTTTTTTAGCATAACAATGTTTTTCTAGATAGAAATCCTATTATTTTATTTTACCAAATCAAAAGGTCAAAAAAGATTTGTTAACTATTGACATCATTTATTGCATATTTTCATGTTATTTTATGTAATCTTAACATTAATTCCTGACACATTTTTTAAATAATTATTTTCAATATGTCACTTTTTCATATAAAAATCTATTTGTTGTATAATAAACAAAACCAAAAATAAGGTTGTTTATTTTCCACTGAATTGGTCAACATTTGACCACAAATAACACAAAGTCTGTTGTTTTTATGAACATGGGAGCATTGAGCTTTCTAAATATATACAACTTGACCATATTGGAAGATACAAAAATGTTAGCATAGAGTGGCAGACGCCAAAATCCACTATTTGGAATTTGGCCCAACTCAGTAAAACACTTGTAGCCCAGGCCACAATCAAAGGTTCACCACAAAATTTTGTATATATCTTACCAAAAGGCAGACAAATTTCTTGTTAAATAAAACAAAAAAAAAAAAAAATTTTAAAAGGTATGGTTTTTCAGAAATTAAAGGTCAAAGACTAAACTCAAAGTCAAATTATTTTATCTGACCTCTAAACAAAAATAAAAAAATCAGATTTTAGATCTATCCAAGTACTTTAAAATGGTATATAATTTAGCTTTGTAACTGAAAAAACATCTGAGATATTGATATTTAAACTTTGTTACTATTTTCCAATATTTCACCTTCTTGGCAGTGGTAAAAGGGTTATATTTCCAGAACCCTTTGACTTAGAGATGAAAAATAGGCATCATTGCAGTTGTATCATGAAGCTTTATAAGTGTATCAAATTTGAAAAAAAAATCTGTGTTGGTGATAGTCAGAGACTTGTTGATTTGATACAGAATCATGTATGAAATTCAAATCAAGATATAAAATAGTTTGGGCTTTACTCACAGCAGTATACTGTAGGCTATGCCAAGAAGAAAAATTAGCTTTAGCCACCTTCCCCACGTAGACAAATTTATTGAATAAAAAAAAGTGAAATATTGGCAAAATGTAAACATGCAAGAAAATATCTATTAGCACATCTGCCCCAGATTAATGGTTTGATTTTATAGTACTTAACCGAATCTGTTGAAATTGTTTCCCATTAGGATATATCCATATTACTTTGAATGCATGTGCCTACAATTTCATTCTTATTGTGTATACACATTCACTGGCCACTTTTAATGAAGTATATGAGAACAAATGTTCTTTCATGCAAATTTTCAATGAGCCAATGACATGGTAGCAATTTAATGGATAGAAGCATTTCAACAAGGTCATAACAACCTGATACATTTTATTTCATGCATTAGTATAGGAAAGAAAGGTGATTTAAATGAACATGGCATGTTTGTTGGTGCCAGGCAGGTTTGTGTATTTCAAAAACTGCTAATCTACTAGGATTTTTATGCACAACTATCTCTAGGGTTTGCAGAGAATGGTCAGAAAAAAATTTTATTAAGCAGGAATTCTATATGCAGAAATATCTTATCAGTAAAAGAGGTTGGAGATTAGCATAATAAAAACACTCTTAAATGTTTAGGAAATAATTTGAAAAAGATAAAATACTGAAGTTTTAAAAATTAATTAGACCATCCCTAAACTCATTGGGTTCCTATTAAAAGCAGTTCATGATACAAAATGATGAGGTAACAACATCATCAAGTTTATTATTAATTACACATATTTTAATTTGTATTTGCAATAAAAGTTATTATAATATAGCAGATATACAAAAATAAAAAGGGGTGTAAGACAAGGATATGGTTTCTCACTGGACTTATTCAACCTATACAGCAAGGCAATTCTGAGAGAATTAGAAGTCCAATCAGAATTCATTATTAGTAGCCAAAATCTTAACAACATAAGATATGAAGGTGACACAGAATTGATAGCAGACACGAAAAGAACTCCTGCAGAAAATAATGAAGGAAAGTGAGAAGAAAGGACTAAACATCAACTACAAGAAGACAGAATGCATGGATGTTAGCAAAAGGATGAGCCCAAAATGAAAATTACAAATTGAAAATACCAAAATCAAACAAGTACAAAAAATTTAAACATCTGGGAAGTGTTTTAACAGAGGACAGAAAGTGCAACACTGAAATCCAAGTGAGCTACGGCAAGGTTTTAGAGAAAATGGAAACTAAAAAGGAACTTATACTCAACATCAGGAAGAGACAGTTGAAATTTCTAGGGCAGATAATGTGGAAAGAGGGTTTGGAAAATCTGATACTCACAGGACAGAGGAAAACAACGTATAGCATTAGTGAGTGTGAGTAAATGGATGGCAGAATAGGGTTTAGGAGAATTAACAAAAAAGACAAAATTTATCAAGAGCTACAAAGGACAGGAAGTTGTGGAGATCCATGATCGCATTGGTCCTGAGGGGACACAGCACATACAGAAGAAGAATTATTATTACTCACATAATACAATATTACTTCGATCAGATGCAATAAGAAATTAATAAATGGAAAGGTTTTTGGAATTTGTGAAAAAATTTGCTGCTTTACATTATTTTATTAATGAAATTCAGCTGGAAATTCAATGATAGACATTAAAGAATGACATAGGTCTATCATTGTCTGAGGCTTGTAACCTAACTTTAATTTGAAACATCCCTTTAATGCAGGAAAAAAAGTTTACTGCTCTTGAGAATAGAATTGCCAACTGATATTGAAACTAAAGGCCTTTCTATTCAAGTAATAGTAACCCCTGGGTGACAATTTATACCAATTTTAATATTTGCTATAGTTTTCAAAAGTGAAGGTCATTCCTCCCCAAAAAAAGCTAACAGCAATCATCTGCTTAAGGAGATTCATATTTACTGAAATAACTAAGTATCAACGCCTCCTTTTTGTGCACTTAGTTTAAAATGAAACGGAAGATGTATTAACCTTCGTCTAGTTTGCTTGTCTATGGAGATTTATTTATTTATTTTATTTTATTATGAAAGGGAATTGTGCATATAAAAAAGAAAAACTTTTAAGAGAACGTTTTTTTTTTGACGATTTCATAAAGGGTTATCTTTTATGTAAGGTATTTAAACTACTACTTTGGGCTATGGATTATGAAGGGTGTTATGTTGTATGCATGTTTGTAGTTAATTATTCCTACTATGAATCTGATGATTGGGCTATTTGTTAAACAAGTAATTATAAATTTTTTTTTTTTTTTTATCTAATAATTCAAACCAAAAATCTGATGATGTCTACAAAAAACCGTTAACTCGTGTCTATTATTTAATAGATTATTATTATTTAAAAGTTTAATAATGTGCAATTTTTCATGGAGGCACAAAGGGCATGGGTCATCCCAAGCTTTACATGTTCTAGCCTATATATATATATATATATATATATATATATATATATATATATATATTATATATATATATATATATATGTGTGTATATATATATAGCCTTATATATATATGTGTGTGTGTGTGCGTGCGTGTATATATATATATGTGTGTGTGTGTGTATATATATATATATATATATATATATAATATATGTGTGTGTGTATATATATATATATATATATATATGTATATATCTCTAACTAAATTTGGCATTAAATGACCTACAGTGGTTGATATGCCATAAAACCCAATCAACCAACCAAATCCCCCTGCCACTGCATTCTTTTTGAGGATGCAAAAACATGAACACCTACTGTTTAGTTATAAATTTCTTGGTGCATATAGATTTTAATTTTTGTACACTAATAAAAGAATGAATGAGTAATATTTTGATGTAATGCATTACATTTTCCATGCATGTTTTAATGTTGAAAATGAAAAAATTGAAATGTAAAATAAAAAATGCAAAATAAAAAACAAATACATTAAAAAATACACAAATATTTCAATGTACTTAACTTTTATTACTCCTTGTGGAGTTCTGTGGGCGCAATAAAAAGCAAAATCGCTAAGAAGTTTTTTATTTTGACAAAAAAGTGACATGTTTCCTTGTGTTTACATACGAGAAGACACTAGCATTTGCTCTTTCTTTCACCTGACTCATATTTATTTCTCATTGATGAATAAAGTTATTATTTTGTCGTTTATAAATATACAAAATAATTCACCTTCAGAAAGGCTATCAGGTATATTGATGGTCACCAGTAGCTTCCATAAAACAAATAAATATTCATCATAAATATATAATTGTGGCCAAAGGTTCAAGACCATCCAATATTTTATTATAAAAACAAAAAAAATCTTATAGCATCAAAAATAAAAAGTGCATTAAATTTATTAAAAGAAGTTTCAATTTCTATTAAATTCAGTTGTATGGCTACCTTCTGCCTTGATAACCACTTTAATATGACAAAGAAAACTGACTAGGATACAATGACAATATTCTGCTGAAATTCCAGTGGTCCAGATGTCCATGATATCATCCACAAGTGCCTTGGCATTGACTGGCTGTTTATCTAAACCCTTATCCTTCATGTAATCCCACAAATGTTCTATGGAATTGAAGTCAGGACTGTTGCCAGGACATTCTTAACATAATTTTACACTTTCTTTGCATAAATGTACTGCAACCATGCATGTGCACCTTTAATTTATCCTGCAACAGTTCCAGTTCCAGATACTTCTGACCATTCATATTTGTTCCAGGGCCCCAAAAATATAAACCAGCTGTTCCAAACTCATCTGGCTGGGAGAGTGTTTTCATAGTTTGTAGGATATATTTGTCATCATATCTCTTGGAAGCCTTCTGACATGCATGCTGATACACAACAAGTTGCTGCAA